GTGGTAGTGGTAATGGTAGTGGTAGTCGTCGTCGTCGTCGTCGTCGTCGTCGTCGTCGTGGTGGTCGGGTTCGTCGTGTCGTCGTCGTGTTCGTCGTCGTGTTCGTCGTCGTCGTCGTCGCCGTCGTATTGGTGGTGTTTGTGGTGGTGGTGGTCGTCGTCGTCGTCGTCGACGTCTGGGACCCTCGGTGGGGAGCGGCCGTGGCGGCGCCCTCCCCTCCCCAGGAATGCCGTCGTGATCTCCTCGGGCGGCGTGCTGTCGGCCCTGATGGGCCATTCCGCCATGGGGCGGGGGGAGGTGGGAGGTTCACAGCTCTCGTCCCTCGTCCTCGTTCTCCTCCTCCCTCCTATCCTCCGCCCTCTCTCCTCCCTCCTCCCTCCTCCTCCTCTTTTTGTTCCCCCGCCTCTCTCCTCCCTCCTTCGTCCTCCCTCCTCCTTCCTCTCTCATCTCTCCTCCGTCCTCCCTCCTCCACCTCTCTCCTCCCTGTTCCTCCCTCCTCCCTCTTCCCTCCTTCCTCCTCCTTCCTCCCGCCTCCGTCCTCCCTCCTCCCTCCGTCCTCCCTCCTCCTCCCTGCTCCCTTCTCCCTTCTCCATCGCCACTCGACCTCCCATCCTCCGCCTCCTCCTCTGGGGGGGTCCAGGCTGCGACCAAGAATCACGACGTCGGAAGTCCGGGTCCACCGGTCCGGAGGCGTGGCCCGGGAGGATCTCGCGAGGGGCGCTGGACGCGAGAACTTCTCCCCGCCAGCTCATGGGCGGGGCGTACCCACTTCGGGCGCCCCGCGTGACCCCTCCAGGGGTCACGCCACCCGCCCAGCGGACGTCGGGCAGGTCCTGCTTTTTCGTCGTCGTCGTCGTCGTCGTCGTCGTCGTCGTCGTCGTCGTCGTCGTCGTCGTCGTCGTCGTCGTCGTCCGTGATCGTCGTCGTCGTCACCTGGGAGCCGCGTGCTCCCTGGGGGCCAAGCCACCCGCCCAGCGCACGTCGGGCAGGTCCACGGCGAAGCTCCCGCGGCCGCCGTCCTACGCTCCGGGCGCCGATCCGCAGGCGGCACGCGAGCGGCCGTATTCGCGCGTTCCCCCCACCGTGGAGATGGGGGTGCCGCTCTCTCGGCGGGCAGGAAGGTCGCCGCCCAGATCCAGCGCTCCGCGACGTCTTCGGGGGGCACGCCTCCAAATGGGTGGACGTGGATGTGCTCGCGGCGTGGAGTTCTTCCCAACTCACCATGGGGCAAAGGGCGGCGTGCACTTCGTCCGCACGCGATGTCAGGAGCCCCACGGCATCCCTCTCCCCCCTCTCTCCGTAGCCGTTTCGGTTCAAGCCATTCTGGTACCATATCTTTTTGGATGCTAGATATCGGTCGAGGGTCTCGAGAAGGTGCTGGTTCTTCCGACGTGCCAATCCAGAAGTATGGTCGGACAAAACACTGGTGCTCAGCACTGCAGTTGCTCCGCGAAGGGATCCAATTAGGTGTGGAACCCTTCCCAAGCCACTACTTTGCGACTGTTAGTGCATGCAGAAAAAGGTGGGCAACGGCAACACGAATTGTCAGTGCGATTTGGGAGTCAATGCTAGAGCCCGACGTCAGGCGCAAACTACATGCACGCACCTTGATGACCAGGACGAACGCGAGCACGAGGTAAGGGACCACCCCCGTTCGTGCTCTTCCCGCTCTTCCTCCTGACTAAGTTCCTGGGCTTCTTCATCACGTTCCTTGCCCCTGTTGAGGGGTTCTTGGCCGTTGATGTCAAAAAATCCCCCTCCTCCTCCTCCTCCTCCTCCTTCTCCTCCTCCTCCCCCTCGTGTTCCTCCCCTTCGTGTTCCTCCTCCTCCTCCTCGTGCTCCCCCTCCTCCTTTTCCTCCTCCTCCTCCTCGTGCTCCTGCCGCCGTGCGCCCGTCCCTGTCCGTGCCCCAGACGCCAGGCGACCTTGTCGGCACCCGCTGGGCGCAGCGCGACTCGCGGGCGCCGTGCTGGATAGGCTCGGCGCGGACCTTGACTCTCCTCGCCTCTCGGGTTGCACGGAAGGCGTTCCGCTACTCGCAAAATGCCTGCCTACACGCAGACGTCAGGAAAACATGTCTTTCAATTTTGTAAGGGATCGTAAGTCCCCCGCGGCGGATCAGGGCCATTTGCGAGTGGTTGCATTGCGAGTAGTGGAACGCGCTTGTCTAGAAGGGGTAGGACAGGGAAGGGGGGATACGAAAGGGGTGATCCCAACTACGCCCAGAGGGCTGGGGATTCCATGGGCGGGGTAGTTCCTGAACATATGTTCTGCAGTTTATGCTGTATAATATGTAATGCAAGAAGTGTTTGGGTAACCCGCCAAACTGATAGCCACGACCAGTTCCTTCGAAAAGAAGTTGAACAATCTATGTGGTGCAATCCGCCAATGCTCAACTTGAAAGTGTCGACCCCATTGCTCGCGCAAACATCCCACCCGCCCACCCGCAACTTGGTTTGCAAACCCCATGCTGCGTCGATTGCGATGAGTGCTTGGCGCCGGCTGGTGCATCTCTGCGGCCGCGACAGCCTGCGCATGCACGCGCGCGCAGCGGGCAGCTACTTTGGCGCGGCCGACGCAGCCGCGGTAGCGCTGACTGCTGGGCACATCCCAGCAGGCACTTCAGTGCGAGTGTGTGACTTGGACGGGCGCGGTATCATGGCAACGTCGACAACGGTAGATACGGTGATGATAGTAGCGATGCTGATGGCGATGCTGACAGTGACGACGGCACGGCCAGTGACGGCGCGGATACCGACCACGCCAACGACGATGACGGCGTTCTCGCGTCGGTGATGAAGGTTTTGGAAAGAACATGCGCGCGCGGCCGACGCCCGAGAGTGGCCCGCGTGGTATGCTCCGACACGGATCGTCATCCCCCTTCCTTCAGCACGCGCGCAAGAGCGCGCGAATGATTTCGGCATGCGGCGCCAGAGGCCCGTTTCGCAGAATTCCATGAACATGTTGAAACACCAAAGGTTTTTCGTAAGAAATCGCGAGAGCGCGAACGCACGCTTTTTTGAACTTTGGTTTTGCGTCACCATGTGTTTGTAAGTTGTTTGACGCTCGGTTTGGCCCTCGTTCTGCAACCGCACGTTTCTGACGGATTTCGGCATTCCGCGCGCGATGACGCGCGCGTGCACTTCGTTCATTTTTCTGCAAAAAAAGATTCTCGCGACGGCACGCGCGCAAGAGCGTTCGAACGATTTCGACGCGCGCGCGAAACCCGTTTGGCAGCATTTTCTGAAACTGATGAAAGTCGAATGGTTTTCTCGAGCATTCGCAAGAGAGCGCGCGCGCAAGTTTTTTTTCGAAACCCGTGGTGTGAAACTTTGTGTCCTTCTATGCGTTGTTGGACATTCGATTTGATTTCTTTACGTCGCCGAAGGTTTTGGCCGGATTTCGGCATGTGCGCGCGACGACGTGCGCGTGTGCACGTCGTTTCATATTTTTCAAAAAAGGGTTTTGAACATCGATGGTTTTTATAAACGCGTGCGCGCGCACACTGTTTTTTGGGAAGAATCTTGCGGGGGGGAGGTCGATATCGGATGGGCTGGGATGGCATGAGTTCATATTGTAGTGGCCTCCGGCCAGTGCCGTCGATCCGGGACGCTTCCGTTGCTGCCGGAAACGCGTGATGGCTGTCATGACTAGCGACGACGGCGAGCGGTGAGGATAATGATGAGGATTGGGAATGGAGGCAACGGAGTAGGATGATGAGGAGAAGGAGGAGGATCATGATGAGGTGGGGGGGGGGGTGGACGGGGGAGGGGCAGGAGTAACAGGATGCTGAGGATGAGGAAGAGAAAAAAGGAAAATGGAACTGAAGAGGGGGAGGGGGAAAAGGATGACCATGACGAGGATGAGGAGACTTTTGGCGGTTCTTGGAAATGTTCGGCGGTTGTTGGAAAGCCTTTTTGGGGCCAGGTGTTGGCCTTCTTTGGGTTGGTTGACGCCTCGCCGATTTGGCGCACTCTTTGAAAAACTTTGTGCTAGAGCTGTCTGCGTCACAATTCTGTGTGGAGTCTTGTGCATCACCGGTTTCTGCTGAGAACCATTGTGTTTTGGGGTCTTTGGGGCCTTAATGCGGTCCTCACCGGGCCCTCGTGTGATCATGGATGTGAAGGACACCGAAAACGGGAGAAGATGTGACAGCGTGGAAGGACATTTTGTATTGCAACGCTTGTGTTCAGAACTAAGCGCCGTGGAAGTATTGGGGCCTGTCTTGGGCTTCTCGGGGGGGGGGGGTCTTGGAGGCAGCTTGGAGGCCTACAGAAGGCGTCTTGGATGCATGTTTTAAGATTCTCGGGGGCTTCAGGGGGCCTCTTCGGGGCCGTTGGGGGCCTGCTGGGGGTTTCATGGGCCGTCTTCGGCACTTCTTCCGCCGTCTTGGCGCCTTCTCAAGCGCCTGTTGGGCCTGTCCCGGGGACCTCTTGGGTGTTTCCGGGGGCCTCCTGGGCCAACTTGGGCCCTTCTTGGGCCGTCTTGGAGCCCTCTTGGCGGCTCCTTGGGCCGTTTTGGGGCTCTCTTGGGGCGCTTGCGATGTTTTGCATGCCCAACAGGCGAATATGCTAAACTTGTACGTTTCCCCCAGGGAAAGGGATATTTTTTGCTTCTTTGGGCCTTCTTTGGGAGGCCTTTTTTCAGGGCTTCTGAGGGCACCTGGGAGGCTTCTGGAGCCGTCTTGGGGACATTTTGGGCGTCTTTAGCGATCGTTCGGCGACTCGGGGCCCTCTTGCCCCATGTTGGGGCCCTCCTGGGCGAGGGGGCCGTCCCGGAGTGAACTGGACCTCCGATTCCGTTCCGGGAATCAAGTCGAACCCCCCCCTTTCCCCCCACCCCGGCAGAGCCACCCCGGCACCCACCAGAGCTGAAACTAGGGCCTTTGAAACTCACACGGTGGATCGGCGGATGACGGGAAGCGCGCTAAGATTCGAAGAGTCGCGCGATGGACGTCTGTGTGCCCAGAGGGATTTTATCAACTTGGGGGGGTCGGGGGGGGGGGAAACGCGCGGCGCCGCCTCGGGGTCCTGGACCTGGCAGATTCCCAACATGAGCGTTTCGCTCGAGACATCCTCACAACATCGTGAAGTTTGGGGTCGTATTTTATGACGTATTTCGCTAAAAAAAGGCGTCTCGCTCGAGACATCCTCCCAAAATGGAGATCTTGAACTCGCTCGCCTAATTTTCGGATCTTCGAAAATGGGCTGAGACATCCTCGAAAAAATGGGATGCCGACGCAGCTGTTGTAAGGCATCTTTTCGGAGCGATCTCGGATGACCCCCAAGATGGCCCAAGAAGCGAAAATATTGGGAAAACACGTGTTTTAAACATTTTCGTTGAAAATTCAGCGTTTCACTCGAGACATCCCTTACACAATACCTTCGAACGGGCCCTCGAAGCCATCTGGTCTCCTCCTCCTCCTCCTCCTCCTCCTCTGCCTGCTGCTGATCCTCCTCTTCGTCCTTCTGCTTCTCCTTCTCCTTCTACTTCTCCTCCTTCTCCTCCTCATCCTCCTCCTGTCCTTGCTTCTCCACCTCCTCCTCCTCCTCCTCCTCCTCCTCCTCCTCTCGTTCTTCCTCCTTCTCTTTCCTCCTCCTCCGCCTCGTCTTCCTCCTCCTGCTCCTGTTCCTCCTCTTCCTCGTCCTCCTCCCCGTCCCCTCCCCGCCCTCTGTTCCTGCTCTTGCTGCTGCTGCTGCTTCTGGTCCTCCTCCTCCTCCTCCTCCTCCCCTCCTCCTTCCTCCTCTCCTCTCACCTTCTCCTCCTCCTCCTTTTCCTCCTCCTCCTCCTCCTCCTCCTCCTCCTCCTCCTCCTCCTCCTCCTCCTCCCCCCCCTCCCACGATTGTCGTTTTCGCCGTCGTCCTCCTCATGCGGAGGAGTGAGGAGGATAACCAGGAAGATGCTTGTAAACGTTCGGGGGGCGCGTGTGCGTTCGGAGAGCTCGCCCATATTACATCTGATCACGATGATGCTGCAAGTTCTTGCGCAACTCTTCCCTTTCACGCGCTTCCCGTTCATGTCAGGAAAGGTTTCGGATGGACGATGGGGCAGAATCGTTTGTAAATTGCAATCTGGGTGGGTGGGTCGATTTTTTGTTCTGTTGGAAAGGAGAGGCGACAGGGGGCGACGAGGCGGCGACAGCGACAACCTAGCCGCCAGACCGTCACGCAGGCCCAGACGAATGGCGGCGACGAGGCGGCGACGGGGCGGCGACGTCGACGACAGCCGCCAGCCCGACGCACCGGCCCAGACGGCGGGTGGCGACGAGGTGGCGACGGGGTGGCGACGGCGACAACATCCCAGTTCCTTAGACAAAGAAGTAAGAAGCCCTGAGTGCAAGCAGTGCTTGGGGAATATACAAAGCCACGCCGCGAAATACAAAGCAGTGCAAATCAATGCAAAGCAGGCCAAGCAATGCAACACATTGTGATGCAATGCGAAGAAACCCACAGCAATGCGAAGCAATGACAACCACGGCAAGGCAATGCGAAGCAAGGAAATGCAGTGATGGTAAACAAACAATGCACATCAATGCGGATCTGCGCAGACCAACGCACATCAACCATGCAACGCAGTGTAAGACAGTGCGAAGTAGTGCAAAGCAGTACGAGTACCGTAAAGCAGCGCAAAGCAGTGCAGAGCAACGCAAAACAATACACAGCAACGCGGCGACGAGGCGGCAGGCGGCCGCCGACGCGGCGACGGGGCGGCGACAGGGCGGCCGCACGGCTGCCGGACCGCCCGCCGGGCCCCGACGACGGGCGGGGCGATGGGGCGGCAACGGGGCGCGGAAGGCGACCATAATGGCGTTGGACCCGACGCGCAGGCCCAGACGACGGGCGGCGACGAGGTGGCAGCGGGGCGGCGACGGCCACCATGTAGCCGCCAGACCCACGCGCATAAGAACCCCTAAGGGCAAGCAGTGCTCGGGGAACGGGCTCCCGCCTGAGTGGCAGGGTCACGTCGCGCCCGTTCTTCAGGTTGTCGGGGGGGTGGCGCTTCCTGCAGTGGGCCGGGGGACTTCAAGGGACCAGCGTAGAGAGGATTTGGGACGCGAGGACGTCTTGCAGCATCTTTGACACATTTTGGGTTTACTCTGGTCGTCCTCCTCCTTCTGCTTTTCCTCCTCCTCCTCTTTCCCCTCTCCACAGCCTCCTCCTCATCATCATCATCCCTCCTGGCACGCTTGCTGATCATCTTCGGGGTTGAGAGTTGGCTGGGGGTCTGAGGCGGCCCAGCACCCGTTCTGGCTAGCAGAAGGCCTTTTTCGTCCTTCTTGGGCCTCCTGGGGATTTCTCGCCGCCACAGCTGGACGCGGCTCGAAAACCTGGTGCGTTTGGACCCCGGGTGGGGTTCCGGGACCGACTTTGAGCGGATTTGGATTCGTCGACCTCGTTTACCGATTTTCTCGGGGCTCATCCAGCTCAGACCCCCTGGCCGCCTCCAACGGCAGGGTGTATTGCAGCATCGTGGATGCATTTTTGGCTTCCTGTGGTCGGCCTCCTCATCCTCCTCCTTGGGGAGGGGGGTCCCCGGAGACCTGCCAACGCGGCAAAAGCCCAGGGGGCCCCGCACTTCATTGGTTCCTTGGATGCCTCCCCCGCAAGGTCTGAAAGCATGTAAACACGACGTGGCGAGAACGACGATGAGAACGACAACGACGTGGAGGACGACGACGGCGAGGACGACGACGATGAAGACGAGAGTACGACGACGAGTGTACGACGACGACGAATGTGCGACGAGGACGACGACGAGGACGAGGGCGAGGACGAGGACGGCGAGGACGAGGAGGACGACGAGGACGAGGACGAGGACGACGAGGACGACGAGGACGCCGAGGACGACGAGGACGCCGAGGACGACGAGGACGACGACGACGACGACGACGACGACGACGACGACGACGACGACGACGACGATGACGACGACGACGACGACGACGACGACGACGACGACGACGACACTCGGACCTCTCCTGGAGCGCATCCTGTTCTGGCTTTCGAGGCAGTTCCAGCAGTGGCATCGGCGGCCGTCCCCGAGGCTCCAAAAGCGGCAGACAAGTCAAGATCTGTGCCGTCGTTTGGGTTTTTGCGTCGTCGTCATCGTCGCGCCAGCAGCGGCAGCGGTAGCGGCGGCGGCGATGACCCCCCCCCTGGCTGCCCGGCAGGCCTCATCGGCTCGGTCACGGCCATACCCCTCGTGTGCGTGATGCTGTTCGCGTCGCCCCCTTGGGGGCGTCGGACGAAGAGGGAGAAAGGGAAATAGGGGGTTACGAAATTTACTGCTTGCAGCTGGTTTCGGCCCCTCCGCCAGGCGCTTTTGCTCGCTACACGGGCGCATTCCAGCGCTGGGAGGCGCCGAGAAAACCAGCTTCTTGAGCTGAGTCGCTAATCCTTCCTTCGCTACCCCGTTTTGTCCCACCCGAATGGGAGGGCCAGAAGGGTTTGTGACCACTTGCGAACCCTATGTAACCCTGCGGGTCCGATCGACGCTGTAATATCAGACACCCCCGCCGCTGTTCGCTCGACTGCAGGCGTCCTTCGAGTTCTGAGCCCTAGCCGGCTTCTCAGAAGTCTGACCTGCAAGGGTAGGGTTCACACGTGGCTGCCTGTGGGAGGGGACCCTCCAGAGCGCGGCTGCGCGCTTTCCCTTGTCGTCGTCGTCGTCGTCAGCGTCGTCGTCGTCGTCGTCGTCGTCGTCATCGACGTCCTCGTCGTCGTCGTCGTCGTCATCGACGTCCTCTACGTCCTCGACGTCCTCGTCGTCCTCGTCCTCGTCCTCGTCATCGTCGTCGTCCTCGTCGTCGTCGTCGTCCGCGTCTTGTCGCCAGCTTCGTCCGCGCGGCTTCTCGCCTAGAGGATTGCGGATCGCGGTGCGACGAGGATCGATGATCGAGTTTCGAAAAGGACCGTGGTTCGAGGAGGTTCGAGGAGGAGAAGGAGGAGGAGAAGGAGGAGGAGGAGAATGGATGAACATGATAGGGCGGCTGAGGATTAGGATGAGGAGGAGAAGGATGAGGTGGAGAAGGATGAGGAGGAGTAAGAGGATGATGACGATGCTGATAATGCTGATGATGCTGATGATGCTGATGATGAGGAGGATGACGATTATGATGAGGATGATGATGATACTGATGCTGATGATGGTGATGATGATGATGATGATTACGATGAGGTTGTTGACGATGGTGATGATGACGATGATGATGCTGCTGATGATGATGCTGATGAAGTGTGACGTCGAAGATAATGAGGATGAGGATGCTGATGACGATGATGATCATGCTGCTGATACTGATGCTGATGAAGGGTGACGATGATGAGGATGATGATGATGATAATGATGATAATGATGCTGATCTGGGTGATGATGATGATGATGATGATGATGATGATGATGATGAGGTTGATGATGCTGCTGATGATGATGATGATTATGATGCTGATGATGATGGTACTGATAATGATGCTGATGTTGGTGGTGATGATGATGATGATGATGATGATGGTGTTGTTGAGGATGATCGTGAGGATGACGATGATGCTGATGATGACCATGATGATGATGATGATGATGATGATGATGATGATGATGATGATGATGATGACGATGCTGATTATGATGCTGATGATTATGAGGTTGATGATGATGATGATGCTGATGATGCTGATGATGATGCTGACGATGATGATGGCGATGCTGACGATGATGGTGACGATGATGATTAGGAGGAGGAGGATGGATGAGCACGATGGGGCGGGGTAGGATGAGGATAAGGAGTAAGAGTATGATGATGATTCTGATGATGATACTGATGATGAGGATGAGGATGAGGACGAAGATGAATATGATGATGATGATGATGATGATGATACTGATGATGATTTTGATGATGATGATGATGAGGAGGATGATGATGATGATGATGATGATGAAGCCTGAGAAGATGATATGATGATTATGATGAAGATGATGAAATGATGATGATGGATTATGATGATGATGAATGAAGTATTGATTAAGATGAAATGATGATGATGTGATGATGGATGTGGTGATGATGATTATGAGAATATGAGTGAGTTGATGATGATGAGGATGAAGGATGATATGAGGATGAGGATGATGAAGATGAAGATTATGATATGATGATAGAGAAGATGAAGATGATGATGAGATGATGATGAATGATGAGATGATGATGATGATGATGATGATGATGATGATGATGATGATGAATGATGATGATGATGATATGATGATGAGAGGATGATGATATAATGATTTATGGATGAATATGATGATGATGAAGGATGATGAAGATGATGATATGATGATGATGATGATGAATGATGATGATTATGATGATGATGATGATATGATAACACATATGAGGATATGCAGTTGCCAATCAAGGTGTCGATATTTAAGAGAGCGTGATCCACCGCCGCTAAACATGTGAACATTGCCAACCTATTCCCCTCCGGAACCCGGGGTCGCCCCCCCCCCCCCCCGCCCGAAAATCCCCACCGCCCTGCTGGAACCCGGCCCCCCCCCCCTCACTCCCCCGGCAAAACCCCGAACCCCCCCCTCCACCCCCTATCCACCCCCCCCCCCCCCCCCCCCAATCCCCTCGAAAACTGGCGGGGGGTCACTCTGCCAGTTCGATGCCCCTCCCCTAACCCCCCCCCTTCCTCCTCGAAAACCAAGGGGGTCACTACCGGTTCGTCCTCCCCCCCCCTTTGAAAACCGGAGGAGGGGTCACTGCCGGTTCGAACCCCTCCCCACCCCCCCCACTCACCGCCAGCAAACGACTCCCGGTCCCTACCACCGTCCGCATCACATCCCCCACTGTGTTCCCAGCACCACTGTCCTCACCACCACTGTCCCCACTGTCCCCACCAGTGCCCCCACCACTGTCGCACTGTCCCCGCTGTCCCCAGAACTGTTCCCACCACGGTTCCACTCTCCCCACTGTCTCCACGGCCCCAACCACTGCCCGACTATCCCCACTGTCCCCACTGTCCCACTGACTCCTCCGCTGTCCCACTGAGCTGTCCCACTGTTCCCACCACTGTCCCCACTGTCCCCACCACTGTCCCCACTGTACCTCTGTCCCATTGTCCCACCGCCGTCCTCGCCACCGCCTTCACCACTGTCCCCACCACCATTGTACCCTCCACTGTCCCACTGTTTCCACCTCATTCCCACTGTGCCCACACCACTGTCCCCACCACCACCGTCCCCACCACTGTCCACTGTCCCCCCTGTTCCCACCATTGTCCCCACCACTGTCCCCACCACTACCGGCCCTCTACTGTCCCACTGTCCCACTGTCCCCACCACTGTCCCGCTGTCCCCTCACCACTGTCCCCACCAACACCGTCCCCACCACTGTCCGCACCCCCACTCGGTTTTCGAGGGGGGGGGGGTTCGAACCGGTAGTGACCCCCCCCCCTTTTCATGATGAACTGGGGGGGGGGGGGGGAGGGGTTCGAACCGGTAGTGACCCCCCCCGGTTTTCCGGAGGGGGGGGGGGAGGGGTTCGAACCGGTAGTGACCCCCCCCGGTTTTCCGCCAGCAGCGGTAGAACACGCTCTTTCTATGATGATTCTGATGCTGATGCTGATGCTGATGCTGATGCTGATGATGATGATGATGATGATGATGATGATGCTGATGCTGATGCTGATGCTGATGCTGATGCTGATGATGCTGATGATGATGTTGGCGATGATGATGATCATCATGATGATGATTCATGGTGATGATGCTGATGATGATGACTATGATGATGATGATCATCATGATGATGATCACGATGATGCTAATGGTGGTGGTGATGATGATGGTGATGCTGATGACGATTATTTTCCAAATAGGCTTGCCCTATAGGAGTCCTAGCCCATCAGGAGTTTGGCTCAAGTGACGCATCCTGGCTCAAAGCCAGGGACCCCGACCAGCTGCCCTGGCAAGGGTGGGGTGCCATCACTTTCCCTCACATCGTCTCGTGTCTCCTTCATCACCCTGGTTTGTTTCTCATGGCATGCACAAATGCGGGTTGCCTGGCCTTCGGCGTGCTCCCCGCGGCATGCGACGAGCAGGGCCGCTGCAGGCGCTGCGAGCAGGCGCTGCCTGGCCATGGCGGCACAGATGCTCCAGTAGCAGCTGCCGTGGCGCCCGTGGACCCCGAGGACATGGGCTCCAGCGCCACGCAAGGCCTGGCGGCCCTGCAGATGGACGCTACAGCTGACTCCGGGGTGGACCAGACGCTGGCCGACCTGGACGCCATCGAGATCGACGAGGAGGCGGCCACGAGGACCACAGCTTCCACTGCTGATGCCCCCCGGCCCGCCATGCTGCCGCCAGGGCTCCCAGCCCCGGGAGCAGTACCCGTGGCGCCGCCCTCCGGGCCGCCGGTGCTCACGGACGCTATCCTTCAGGACTGGGTCGAGGGGGAGGTGTTGCAGCACATGCCCCTGAGCCAGGCCTCCGCCCACGGCAACCCCGAGATCCAGACGCTGAAGGTCAAAGTCCCCGAATCCGCCCAGGACGTCTTGAACACTTTGCGGAAGCTGGGGTACCAGGTCGAATCGAATGAGTGCTGGGACATCCTCGGCTTCGCGAAGATGGAGGGCCCGGACCCAACGCGTGTGGCGATTGCCGCTCGGGAGCGTTCTGCGCTCTCCTTGATCTCTCTTGCCGGGGCCTTCTGGGCTGAGGCCGACCAGCAGACCATGCTTGTGCTCGAGCGGAAGCTGGAGGCCGCGTCGCGGAAATGTGAGGAGGAGCTCGACGAGGTCCTGACGCATATGAGGAAATTTAAGGCGCGGATCAACAGGCTCCCGCTGTGGAAGGAGCTCGACCCGCGTGCCATTCCTCACATCAAGACGTTCATGAAGTGCCCCACCCTCGAGGTGCTTACCCAGTGGTCCAACATCAACCGCAACAGAGGCGATGGCTACGACAACGTGGAGCGCGCTCGCTCGGTAGCGAGCCTGAGCGAGAAAGGCGATGAGAAGCTGTGGCCTCAGCTTGCCGGTAGACGGGTTGTGATGTGGGCTCCCACGGACGGGAATGCACCCACCAGGTGCTTAACGTCATATTTGAAGCTCGCGGATGATACGGCACGCCCAGATATGCTGCTGTGGGTTGCTCCGCTGCCGCTGCACACCAGCACGCACACACTGGAAGGCATTCTGGACCATCGGTTTTCTCC